AGATAGATAGATAGATAGATAGATAGATAGATAGATAGATAGATAGACAGATAATCCTGTGAGGGAACTGAGGTGATCGGAGCAGCAAGTGGCAGTGGGAATTGAGTGAACCATGCTGACTCCATCTTGTGGATGTTCCAATTCTGGAACTAGCTCAGTTCCCTTTCTATTCAATTATGGGTCTAGTCCAATTTCTGTCCTGTGAGAAAACTTTATTCAACTGTGGAAATTGTGAGAGGACTTTGTTGCATTGTTTGAACCTAACCTTGTGCGGCTGGGAAGCTGGACCACCTCTCCCTGCTCCTTAGAGACCCTTAGCTGAGGACCTAGGTTATGCTGACCAGAAACTCAGTCAGGTCTGAAGACTGATGCGAAGAGTTTTCTCAAAATTATGTATCTCTAATAACCCACGTGTCTTATCTGAAAACTGGCCCCTTACTGATCAATCAGTTAGTTGTTTCTGTGTTCTTTTGATTGTGTATGAATATTCAGGGGAGTGGTACTCCTCTTCTTCTAATTTCAGGAAATTGTACCTGTTCACTTTTCCCCTCCCAACTGGGAAAATCTTAATCTTTCCTCCAATTAGAAATCAGATCATCTAATGTTGTATCTTGGTTAGTTGTTTCCTTTTAATTAATCAACCTTATTTGATTAATTATTTTTAATGTATAAAAATATGTCTCCCCCTAGCTGTATGACCCTGGGCAAGTCACTTAACCCCATTGCCTAACCAAAACAAAACAAAACAAAACAAATTACAGGGGCAGCTAGGTGGAGCAGTGGATAGAGCACTGGCCCTGGAGTCAGGAGGACCTGAGTTCAAATCCAGCCTCAGACACATAACATTTACTAGCTGTGTGACTCTGGACAAGTTGCTTAACCCCCAATTGCCTCACAAAAAAAAAAAACTGTCACTGCCACCATTTTGTTCATTATTTCTCTCAATGCAGTTTATAGTAGCAGTAGTTCTTTACTGTTTGGATGGGGAGAAAAGGAAAGGGAGCTGGCATATCAGAATATTGACTCATTTTGAGCATTCAGTCTGTGAATATTCACAGCAATTATGGCTGCCATAATTATATTCACAGCTAATTATGTCTCCCCCTGTAATCAGGGTCTAACCCTAAGCTGAGGAAGAGACCTGGCCCCAATCTGGTAGGCAATTTGCATGCACTGCTTAATAAATTGATATGCTCAGAAGCTCAAACCTTTGTTTCCTTAGACATTTTATCTTTCACCCACCACACTGTACATGTCTAGTCCAGCTACAGTAGGGGAAAGGGACTCTTCCATTGTCCTAGTAATGGTCTTGCTGCACTTAGTGTTGGGTGACTCAGTTCATCCTCTGTTTCTCTCCACCTGGTCCCTGTAGATTGAGCATTCCTGTGATCTTCTGGGGGCAATCTCCTCTCCTGTTGGTGTCTGATGAGATATTTAGTAAATCTGACAGGGCTAACTTTTCAGCTATCATCTCTGCCTCTGTATTCATTGAAGTAAATTGCTTCTGAAAAATAGCCATTCCAGTGACTCCAATAACATTAATGAGAGCTACACAAAAAGGCAGACAAACTCAGATTGCAAAAACTAACTTTGGTCCAAGAGGACAGATGATGAAACATACTTCCTGCCTCCCCTTAGAAAGGGGCAGCCTGTGGTATCTACATTGTGGCCACTGCATCAATTTTTCTTAATCATTTTTCTTTGTTATAAGGGTGTTAAAAAACAAAAGTGATCAATAATTTTTTAATTAAAAAGAAGGGAAAATATACATTTCTAATGATAAGGCAAGTAATCCTCATGACAACACATCTCTTCTGGACTCATTACATACACAGGATAAAAAAATTATAGAAATACAGGCAATTTGTGTAAAGTGATTTGAAATATGGGATCTACAAATAGAGAAGGCAAAGGGAAATAGTGCTAAGAATTCACTGCATAACACTTGAATATTTTCTTGACTGTATTTGACCACATTTTTGACAGTATTGAGACAAAATGATGGAATAATAGTCTCTGGCAGCAATTTCCTAAAATTCCTCATGTTAGATAGAATATTAGGGCTAGAAGAGGCCTTAGATATCATCTAGGAGTAAGAGAGTAAGAAAACATGTCATGAATCTAGGACAAACAATATCCTATGGAGATTTTTTTAAAGTGGCATTGCTATGTGATTGCTGAGATGCTGTTAATGATCTTTGCAAGATTACAGAGCAAGGGAAAGGCGCTGCAACACTGGAGAAGGGCAAATGTTATATTACATTTTTAAGGGAGTAGGGGGAGAGGCAAATGGAATCTGCAAACTATAAGCTTGCCTTCATTTTCTGATAAAATTCTACAACAGTTTAGTTCATGAACATTTAGAAAGGAAGCAATGATCAGTAAGAAGCTATTGAGGGCTAATTTTTTTTTGTCCTAACCAGTCATTTCCTTGTTGTTCTCATATGATCTAATTATTAGGATAACTGGTATTCACCCAGGAAACCCAGGTTTGACTCCCAGTGTGGGAAAGATAGCTAGCTCTTTTTAGAGGCAGCGCAGGGTAGTGACCCTGGACTAGGAGTCAGGAAGATCTGGATTCCAATCCTGCCTTAGCCACTTCATAAGTATATGAGCCTAAGCAAGTTATTTAACCTCAATGAACCTCAGTTTCTTCATCTGTAATATGAAGATAACAAAATGTTCCCTAGTTCCCTAATAGAATCATAGTTAAGAATCAAACAAGATAATGCATGTGAAAGTGTTCTATAACTGTGAAAAGTAGTTTCTATTATTATTCATATTTCATTGCTTTGTTTTGTCTACCTTTGACTCTTAATAGAAATTATTTTTTAAACCTTGAAATTGTTCCTGGGTCAAAGCATTATATCTTCCTCCACCACCACCTACCTAACCTCCCCTGACACATACTGGTTAACAAGAGTGAAAGAAGACAAATACCAAATGTTCTTTGGGTACTGTTGGCTGCAAGGAGACCAGCAAAGTAAGCCAAAGACTCTGGCTTAGGAAACTGGAGAGAAAATAAAAAGGAAACAAGGGAAAGTAAGAATAGAGGTAAGACGTAAAAAGTTCCTGGTCCAGAGTGTACCTAAACATTTTCATCACATCTCTGAAAGTATTTATTTGGATCCAAGGCCATTCTTACACCAGGTACACATATAGTTTCCAGGAGGGACCTTTTCTACTGCCTGGGAAGTAGAAATGACAAATACAGATTTGTCAAAAGCAAATATTGACAAACTGAAGCATACCTACTGCAAGGTGACCATGAGTGAGTGCATTTGAAACCATGCTATAAAAGAAGAGATTAAAAGGACTAAGATTTTTTATCTGGAGAAGGGATAACTTAGGAGAGACATGATTGCTGTATCCAAATAATTAATAATAATCACTTCCCATTTTGATAGCACTTTTAAGCTTACAAGATGTTATGAGATTCATAGTGCAGGTAACATAATCCTTACTTCATGTAAGAGGAAAATGAGGCTTAAAGAGGTTATGTGACTTGTCCTAAAAGATATAGCTAGTAAATATCAGAGACAGGATTTTGCACCATAGGCTATTGATTCCAATTCCAGAACTCTCTCCACTATTCAATTTAATTCAACCAATATATATTAAGTGCAATGAATGTAGGGTCCCTGCCAACAGTCTTAGGACAAATACAGAACTCTCATTAGGAGCAGGAACTATCACTCCCCAAAACAGAGAAAGGTGAGGACAGGCAAGTGAACCACAGACTGCTACTCAAATGGATCTCCCTGGCATCATATTTGTATGTTTAAAGAACCTTGAAACAAAAATTTGTAACCTATTTAAAAATCTTTCAAAGGAAAAGTTTTAATAATTTTTGAACCCATTTGCTTAAAATATTAAAATGCAACAATGTCCCATTATAGGTACCTTTAGTTTAGTTATGATAGTCAATAATCAAATGTCACAGTAAGTGAAATTTAGAAAAACATCTTTGAATAACTGTATCTCAAAGTATTTAACCAAGATTCTCAAAAATAATGAAGTGTAATCAACTATATTGCTCTCTAAAGGTATTAATACTTTAATGAGAGCAAAAATATTTTGTACTATTAAACATTATTTTTTAAAATATCCCATCTTTTAGAGCACATACCAGGAAAGCAGTGACCACACCTAACCCAGGATCACACCTCCTTGGAAACACCAAAAACTTGCAGATTCCCAGAACTAGCTCTGAAAACAGTAGCATAAAAAAGCCTGAAGCTTGGTATAGTGTCTTCCTACCCCCAGGTAAGTAGAGCCCAACTTTAACAAAAGCTCAATGTCAAAAAAAAAAAAAAGGACTGGAAAAATGAGCAAACAACAACAAAGAACTTGACCGTAAGAAGCCACTACAGTGGCAGAAAAGACCAAAACATAAACTCAGAAGAAAATAACAATGTGGAAACAGTTACAAACAAAGCCTCAAAGAAAAATGCTAATGGTATCCAAGCCCAACAAGAATTCCTGGAAGAGTTAAAGAAAGAGTTAAGAGTGGTAGAGAAAAATATTGAAAAAAAGAAATGAGAGTGATGCAAGAGAATTATGAAAAGAGAACAGCTTGGTGAGAGAGGCACAAAAAATACTGAGGAAAATAACACCTCAAAAAGTAGAATTGGCCTAATGGTAGAGGCACAAAAATTCACTGAAGAAAAGACCTCCTTAAGAAGCAAAATAGGCCAAATGGAAAAGGAGGTACAAAAATTTACCAAAGAAAAGAACTCCTTTAAAAAACAGAATTTTAACCAAATGGACAAAACAAGTTAAAAAAATCTCGTGAAAGAAAATAATTCCTTAAAAATTAGAATTGGACAAGTAGAAGCTAATGAATCCATGAGACATCAAGAAACAATAAAACGAAATCAAAAAAAGGAAAAAATGGAAGAAAGCGTGAAAAACAACTGACCTGGAAAATAGATCCAGCAGAGATAATTTAAGAATTATTAGATTATCTGATAGCCATTATCATAGAAGGAGCCTATGGGGCAACTAGGTGGTGCAGTGGATAGAGCACTGGCCCTGGAGTCAGGAGGACCTGAGTTCAAATCTGGCCTCAGACACGTAATACTTCCTAGCTGTGTGACTCTGGGCAAGTCACTTAATCCCAATTTCCTCACTTAAAAAAAGAGAGAGAGAGAGAGCCTAGACATCATATTTCAAGAAATTTTCAAAGAAAACTGCCCCAATATCTTAGATCCAGAGGATAAAATAAAAATTGAAAGAATCCATCAATCACTTCCTGAAAGAGCTCCCAAAATGCAAACTCCAAAGAATATTATAACCGAATTCCAGAGTTCCTAGGATAAAACAAATATATTCTAAGCAGCCAGAAAGAAACAATTCAAATATCATGGAGCCACAGTCAAGATAATAAAATATTTATCATCTTCTACATGAAAGAATAATGCAATATAGTAACTGATGCAAAAATAGCCAAACATAACCTTGTATTACTGAAGGCAGGATGATAAGCTAGTCAATAAAAATTTATTAAGTGCCTACTGTGTGTCAGGTACTTTGCTAAGCACTAAGGAACATGGCATGTGTGTGTGTGTGTGTGTGTGTGTGTACACACACACAATTATACACCACATATGTTTATATGTATCTGTGTATATACATGTTTATGTGTGTTAGAGAGTAAGCTACTTGAGGATAGTTTTTTTGCCTCTTTTTGTATCCTGAGCATTTGGCTATGTGTGGCATATAATAATGTGCCTGGCATATACTAGGTACTTATTAAATGTTTATTGGCGTATACACACACACACACACACACACACACGTATATATAAATACAAATATGCATGATTGCATAAACAATAAAGAAACAGAAAAAAGCTTTGGAACAAACATATGTCCTTCTTTTTTAATTTTTATTTATTTTATTTTTAATTTATGGAATAAAACAAGCATTTCCATAACACAGTATAATAAAAAAAAAGATTGTTTGTACATGAAGCTGCAAATCTATTATGTACAACATGCTATTTGAGGGGTGGGGAACCTACATGTAGCCCTCTAGGTCCTCAAGTGCGGCCCTTTGACTGAATCCAAACTTCACAAAACAAAGTCCTTAATGAAAGAATTTGTTCTGTAAAATTTGGACTCAGTCAAAAAGCTATCCCAAGGACCTAGAAGGCCACAAGTTCCCCACCCCCATGCTATTCCTTTTAAATATATGATAAAGTTATTTTTTTCTTTGCTCCCCTCCACCCAGCCCTAGAGATGGCTACCATTAGACACAAGTATGTGTATATAAAACATATGCCCTTCTGAGGAAGAACAAGGGAAAAGGAAAATAGAATTGCTAACTTGGATCTGCCCATGAGGGTGAATTCAGCAAGACTCCTATCTGCCCTGATATTCTTCTTGGTCCCAGACTCTGGCGCTGGCAACCTCATTGCTCAAGCTCCACGACTACTTACATTGCAACTACTCTTTCTTTCTCCTTCTCAGGCTTCCGTTCCCCCATGCCAAGTCTCTGGAAAGGCTGCTACCAGCCACCCACTCTCAAGCCTAGCAAAGTAGAAGAAGCAACAGCCCTTCTCTTGGTTTTTCCAATTTAACTTGCCCTAAGCAGAGTTGCTGTCCTCAGCTGTAAGGGTGATGCTACACTGGTAGCAGCCCCTGCGCCTGCTGGCATCTATTTCTGCTGCTCCCTCCACCTCCTATCTCATGTGAGCTTCTATCTTCTAGCTACTTCTCTCTCTTCTCCTCTTTTAGTAATGGGAGAAGCTAAATTCTCCAGGGGACCAGTAGAGGAAATTTGGAGAGTTCTTTACCCACCAGTGGGCAGTTGTTTTCTGATGTCCTGTCACATACAGAAGAAATTAAAAGAAATCATGAAGTTGATTACTGTCCTAAGCACACCAAGCCTAAATTTACCTTTTTTACAACTTGTGTCTATTTTTTCTAATTTTGCTTTCTGAGACCAAGCACAAGTTTAATCCCATTTTCCACATAACAACCCTTTAAATACTTGAAGACAGCTATCATGTTCCCCAAGTCTTATTTTCTGGGCTAAACATTACCATTTCTTTCAACCGATCTTCGTATAACAAGGACTCAGAGGTAAACTCTGGTGCCCAGAACTAGCTGCAGCACTCCAGCTGTGGTCTGACCAGGATCCAACATAAGAGAAAAGTCATTTCCTTACGCCTAGAAGCTATGCCTTTCTAAATGGAAGGTAAGATTGAGTTGTTTTGTTGTTGCTGTTGTTGTTGTTTTGTTTTGTTTTGTTTTCTTTTGCTTGTTCTGATTTGGTTTGGTTTGGTTTTCTGGCTGGAATATCTCACTTACTGAACTTAAACTTCTAGGTCCTCTTCCTACAGACTTCTGTCTAATTTCTATATTTCTATTCCTTTGGTACCTGTGAAGTTATGTTTTTTAAACTAATTATGGAACTTTGATTCAGCCAACGTTTGAGCTTGTCAAAATTATTAACTGCATCATCCAGTGTTAAAGATCTTCCTCAACTCTCTTATCCGCAGATCTTATGTGCGTGTAATTTATGCTTTTAGCTAAGTCATTAATAAAAAAATTAAATAGCGCACGGCTAAGTACAGATTCTTTGACCACTCTGCCAGTGACCTCTTTCTAAATTGACAGTGAACCATTCATTACTGACTATTCTTTGAGTTTAACCATTCTCTCACTTCTAAATCAATTTAAATATAGTATTATCTAGATCATGTAACTCTTTTTTCCACACACACACAAAAAATCATGGAATATTTTATCCAATGCACTGCTAAAAATCCAGATAAACTGTTAGCATTTCCCTATTAAATTATCATACGGTTTCAGTCTTTGGAAGAAATATCCATATTGACAAAATCCCATGGCTTTCAAGTTTGAAATATGTATACATACATGAATTATATGCATAGATCCATAATATTACACCAAATAGAGCCTATGTTCAGATGCATATAATTGAAGATGGGGGGGGAAGGTTCATTACAGAGACCATATGGGTCATAGGATCACTTAGAATCAAAAGTAAAGGATTGGGGTGGTCAAATTGTTAGCAGTTTTGTGTGGGATGAAGGACATCTGGGACTCTACCTTGTGATCTAATCTGAATTTTTTGCTATGTGAGGAAACTTGACCCAGGTGGATATACTTCTATTCCTGGAACTTTCTGAGCAGTAGAGAAAGGGGTTATCAAATAATTTCAATGTTTGATTATCTTCCAAACTAGGTAGAACAAAATTCTAAATTTGGATTTTTAAATTTTCCATTGAGTCACTCTTCTGTCTTGCCAAGTCTTAAGGGATAAATAGCAGTGGTTGAAAACCCTGGAATCTATTCTATTGTCTAGATCCCTAGGACAACCATGAAGGTCATCATCTTCCTTACCCTCTTAGGGGCTGCCGGTAAGTTTCTCTTGTCCAATCAACAAGTGCTTGTTGAGCTTTCTCAGTGTCCTTGATACTGCAAGGAAAAAAATGAGTGATTCAAAATTCTTGTCTTCAAAAATAATAATATAACTGAAGAAACAACACTAATACAGGGAAATAAAAGGAAAGACTGGAAGACAGCACATGGCTAAAAGGCAACTCAGGTGATTCAAGCTATTTCTGCTGTACCAAAGCAGGAGATGAATGTGGACTCTATAGAATATTTGGTAAAGACTTCAACTTGAACTGACCTTTAAGAATAGGTAAGAGGTGTATAGGTATAGAGAATAGTTTATGAAAGGGGAAACCATAATGTGCCCTTAGACACCGATCAGCATCTTTTTCAGAAAAGGTTTTTATCAAGAACTCATTGGCATGGATTCTATGCTGAGGTCTTCGCAAAGATAAATCTATCTACCAAGTCCCTTCACTCAGGAAGGGACACAGATTCTGTTACATATCCACATGGATCTGGTTCAGTGGGTCTTACCAAAATGATGAACGTGAATAAACAGTTAGTTCTTTAGATCATGTCCATGGTATAATGTTTGTGAGTATTAAATATGTATATGAATAAAAGTGCTTATAGGCAATGGGCAAGAGATTTCCTTGTTGTAGTCGTGTATGGATCACAGATTTAAAGTCTAAAAGGTATCACAGAGCCTCTAATATTACAAATTAGAAAACTGAGGTAACCAGTAACATAAACCAAGGTCGCACAGGGTAAAAGCATCAGATGTGAAACTGAGTCTTCTGATTGCAAAGTCAATGTTCTTTCCACTATACTATACTATTTCTCTAGGGGAAAAGCAATGTTGTCAGTTTTTCTCTGATCAATCTTGAAGACTTTCTGGAAGAGCCGAAATTTCAGCAGGTCCTATTGAACTGGAAATTCCTATCTCATTCCTTCCCTAGTTGCTTATCCCGCTGGTGATGATGATGACAAGATTGTTGGAGGCTACACGTGTCCCGCTTACTCCCTCCCCTACCAGGTGTCTCTGAACTCAGGCTACCATTTCTGTGGTGGTTCTCTCATCGATAAACAGTGGGTGTTGTCAGCTGCTCATTGCTACAAGTCGTAAGTAACTAATACTCACATTTAAGGCAAGCTCAGTGCTAAGATCAAGCCCACGAGTTCCATTCAAGGCTGAGAAATCTCCAGAGAATCTCCAGGTAGGATAGGTAGATAAACTGGGGAGTTTATTCAAAAATACTTGTCTTCCAAAGCTGGAATAGCTATCAATGGAGTGTGTGTGTGTGTGTATGTCTGTGTGTGTGTGTGTGTGTGTGTGTGTGTGTGTGTGTGTGTGTGTGTAGAAAGAAAAGAGGTAAAGATCCAATGAGCAAAGAAAAAGTAACATCTAACTGTAAGAATCTCTCAGAGCCTTTGGGCAGCAGAGGCAAATGAAATTACCCATAAGAAAAAGAAAGCCAAACAATTATAATTGTTTCCTTTAACCCTTCTTGCTTGGCTCTCAGGTTAGATGAAAAAGAAATTTTAGATCCTTGGGTATTTCCCAGGAGATTATTTATGTAGGATCTTAGTCATTTTGTGTGTTTGGTGGGGAGGGGAATAGAGAGCTGAATAAAAAGATAGTACCCTAACAGGATTTAGATATAAAGACTGATACTATAAGCAAACTAGGAGATCGAGAAATAGTCTACCTTTCAGATGGATGGAGAAGGGAAGAATTTATGATCAAACAAGAGATAGAGAACATTATGAAATGCAAAATGGATAATTTTGATTACATTAAATTGAAAAGTTTTTGCACAAACAAAGTCAATGCAACCAAGAGTAGGAGGGAAGCAGAAAACTGGGAAAGAATTTTTACAACCAGTGTCTCTGATAAAGGCCTCATTTCTAAAATACATAGAGAACTGAGTCAAATTTATAAGAATGCAAGTCATTCCCCAGTTGATAAATGGCCAAAGGATATGAACAGGCAGTTTTCAGAGGAAGAAATTAAAACTATCTATAGTCATAAGAAAAAATGCTCTAAATCACTATTGATTAGAGAAATGCAAATCAAAACAACTTTGAGGTACCACATCACATTTATCAGATTGGATAACATAACAAAACAGGAGAATGATAAATGTTGGAGAAGATGTTGGAAAATTGGAACATTAATGCATTGTTGGTGGAGTTGTGAATAGATCTAACCATTCTGGAGAGCAATTCGGAACCATGGCCAAAGGGCTATAAAATTGTGTGTACCCTTTGACCCAGTAAGAGCACTTCTAGAGCTGTATCCCAAAGAGATGATAAAAAAGGGAAAAGGACCTACATATACAAAAATATTTATAGCAGCTCTTTTTGTGGTGGCAAAGAACTGGAAATTGAGGGGATACCCATCAATTGGGGAACAAGTTGTAGTATATGAATGCAATGGAATACTATTGTGCTATAAGAAATGATGAGCAGGCAGACTTCAGAAAAACCTAGAAAGACTTATATGAACTGATGCTGAGTGAAATGAGCAGAACCAGGAGAACATTACACATAGTAAAATCCACACTGTGTGATGACTGACTTTGATAGACTTGGCTCTTCTCAGCAATGTAAGGATCTAAGACAACTCCAAAAGACTCCTGATGGAAATTGCTATCCACATCCAGAGAAAGAACTGTGGAATCTGAATGCAGATGGAAGCACACTATTTGCTCTCCTTTTCCTTTGTTGTTTTGTTTTATTGCTTCATTCTCGTGGTTCCTCCCATTAGTTCTACTTGTTCTTTACATCACGACTAATGGGAAAATATGATTAATATGAATGTATAAGTAGAACCTATATCAGATTGTGTGCCATCTTGGGGAGATGGGGAGGAGAGAGAGAAAGAGAAAATGTAAAACTCAAAATCTTGTGGAAGTGAATATTGAAAACTAAAGATAAATAAACTAATTATTAAACATATACATAGCACAATAGCCTCCATTCTCAACTCAGACGTTAAAGTCTCTATTTTGAAAAAGAAAGTAGATCATGGTGAATTTAGGAGAGTTTAGATGAGTGATGCACCCTTGGTAATTTTAAGCTCACTCTCTTTCTTCTCTCTGTCTCTCTGTCTCTCTGTCTCTGTCTCTCTGTCTCTGTCTCTCTCTCTCCTTGCCTCCATATTCCTAGTGCACACCCCCTTGGCTAAGCATTCTGACTGGGTAACTGTTTGGGGAAGGAAAGTGTGAGGGCAGGACTTACCCTAGGGAAAGAAGTGGTAGTAGTTTCACTATATTTGACAGGAGAAATACCTGGCTAAATGTGACTTAGACTCGCAGGAATAAGCAATGAAAGGAATGCAGTTGAAACATGGACAAGAGAGACAATGGGACCAATCTGAATGAAGAGGAAGTGGTTACCTGACTGTGGTGAGATATGAAGGGAAAAACACGGGGATCGGGCTGCTTAAGGGTGCTGTTCTTTGTCCACCCAGACGAATCCAGGTGAGACTAGGAGAGCACAACATCGAGGTCACTGAAGGCAGGGAGCAATTCATTGATGCAGCTAAAATCATTCGCCATCCCAGTTACAATTCTAACACATACAACAATGACATCATGCTGATCAAGCTGAAAACAGCTGCTACCATCAATTCTCAAGTGTCTGTTGTCTCCCTGCCCCAGTCCTGTCCTGCCACTGGCACTTCATGTATCATCTCTGGCTGGGGTAACACTGTGAGCTCTGGCGGTGAGTGACTCATGGAGGGGGAAAAGAGCATTGGAAGTCAAAAAGCCCAACTCTCACCTCCCCATCCCCACACACATAAATACCTCCTATTTCCAGGATTACCTATTGGGTTGCAGAGAATTATACGAGGGCTATATAGAAGAGCCAGAAATATGGAAAAGATTTAGGGTTGCACCATGCAAGAATGAACCTTGGCAAGAGCAAGGATACCTGGAGGAGGGTGAAAGAGGTTCCTTGATATTTGACTGATTGGTCCTAGACATGGAGGGGGGAGGTAGGAACTTAAATGATGCAGTCTTCTTAGGGCCATAATCTTTTCACAGAGCTGGTATCATTAAGAGTCTTAGGGTTACCAGAACCTATCAAACCCCTTGTTGCTCATGACCACATGATCTGAGACCAACATCAGTCAAGGTTGAATCAGTCATTTTCTCACATTGAAGGATCTTAAAAAGTGCCAGAGGAGGAAGAGAAAACCTATTAGTTGAAGGACTTCCAACGATAGCATAGAGAATACATAATCACGTTCATCTTTGTTCCAAACAGCCGACTACCCAGATCTGCTTCAGTGTCTGAAAGCCCCCGTGCTTTCTGACAGCACCTGCCGTAGTGCCTACCCTGGAAAGATCACCAGCAACATGATCTGCTTGGGCTTTCTGGAGGGTGGAAAGGATTCCTGCCAGGTCAGTTTCTGTTCCACTCACCACTCCCCCTCCACTCAGTTCAGAACTATTCTTTCCCTCTTTCCCATATTTCAACTAATCTAGGAGAGTTGGAACTGAAAAAACTTCCTGAGCTTGAGTTCCTGGATAGAGTGAGATGGGAAGATGCCTTGGGAACTGGGACACTAAATATTTTCCTTCTAAAATAGCTATATGATTATAGTGATCAGAGATAACATAGTCTTTGTGCTTGTATTAATGCAGGCATCTTGGGGAAGAATGTTGTAGATGGAACATTGTGGAAAAAAAAGATGGGATGGGCAGAAGGATCTTTAAGCCAACCTCACCTTTATTCTCTAGTTTTGTTCTGCTTCCTGAGGGCATAGACAAGATGAGGAGGAGGAGCTAGGAGACACTGAAGTGTGAAGGGAAAGGGGAAATAAAGAGAAGGATAGATTTCCAGGAAAACATTATTCAGGAAAAAGTGTCAAACTAAATGTGTATTATGCACCTGCCTGGGCCATTGTCTGGCTCTGAGCTCTATTCCTTATCATGCATGGAAGGAAAACTCTGACTCATTCTATTTTCCAATTCCAGGGTGACTCTGGTGGCCCTGTGGTCTGCGATGGAAAACTCCAAGGAGTTGTCTCCTGGGGTTATGGCTGTGCCCTTAAAGGCCTACCTGGTGTCTACACCAAGGTCTGCAACTATGTGAATTGGATCAAGCAGACCATTGCAAGCAACTAAGCTGCTTCCTCCATGGCCCCTTTGCTCTTATCTAATCCTCTTACAACTACAAAAAATATGGAGCACTACATCTACTAACCACAAGTGGAGAAATTGAATCTAAATAAAGAATTTTGCGGTATCTTGTCTCATTCCAGTCCATGACCCTAGGATACCTACTTTTTTTCTGATTAAGCATAGAGCTTACTCTAACCTTCCACATTTTTTAGAACCCTCTCCAATGAAGAATGGCCATCTTCCACTTTCAATCACTATTCTGACAGAATTCCTTAGTAATCTCTTTAATCTTTGAAGTTCTATATAAAGGAATTATGACCCCACACATAGAGCAAATTGTTTTACATTAGCACTAAAAGTTTGTGGCCGAGTAATTACTTAGAGTACAATATCTGTAAAAGGCAACATTGTGCATTGAGTAGGTAGCTGACTGAGAAATCACAAAGATCTGAGTTCAAGTCCTGACTTCGATACATTAGCCATGTAACCTTAGACAATTAACACCTCTGTACAGTCTTACAACTTTGTAATACTGTAGCTGCAAAGCAGGTGTCGATTTGCATAGGACAAAGGAGTTTACTCATCGGCAGTTCACTGTACCAATGAAATCACTAATCCTAAACCCAAATAAGATCTGTACCCCAATATCTGAACTCCATTCTGACACCAATCAGATTAAGTTAGTCTGAAAGTATGATCGTCACTGGCAACCTCAAACCTAAACCAGCTCACTCCCTGGGTATATGAGCAAGTAGAACTGTAATCCCCACATCCCTTAATCTTTCCAGCTACTGCCTCCCCTGAACTTCTATCTATTCTAATGTTATGATTAATTATCAACAATAATTCATAAATTATCAAAGACTTTAGTTCCCTCCCACAGAATATTAAATGTTTTCCCCACATAAGCATGATCCTGAAAGGATTTTTTTTCTTATTAAACTTTTTAACAGCTTAAAACTGCACTAAGACTTTTGAGACATGGGCATGTAGATGGTATAGTGGATAGAGTGCAATCTGACCTCAGATACTTACTAGTTGTATGACCCTGAGCAAGTCATTTCACCCTGTTTGTCTTAGTTTCCTCATCTGTAAAATGAGCTGGACAAGGAAATGGCAAACCCCTCCAATATCTTTGCCAAGAAAATCCCAAATGGGGTCACAAAGACAAGACTGAAAGACTTTTGAGACACCTTGTGTAGATTAAAGAACATTTATTGAATATGAACAGTAAAAGGTATAAAAAGAGCATTCTTGAGCATTTGAACAGCTTCTGGGCAGTTAGTGAAATCTCAACTCTCTCCACCCTTTTGTTTTAGTGTTCACCTACACACACACACACACACACACACACACACACACACGCACACACAGGTGTACCCAGAAGCATTTCGACTGGACCACTTTGACAGGACCTAGGTTTCAAGATCACAAGGAGAATGGGAGATAAATCACCTTAATGAGCCCTCACTCCCTTTCTTCCTTCATATGCCTAGAGCGTCTTCATGGGCAAACCAGATGAACCTCACCTCCTTTTGATCTATGACTATGGTGTCAAAAGCCTTCATGGGCTATTCACTATTCTTCTATCCATCCTCTCCAAGTCTCTTTTTTAAAGTCCCACATATATCATGTTTTCTTATGCTGTCCTTGTAGACAAGATGGAGACAAGCAGGATTAGACTAAATCAGAGCTGGCTGAATGACCAATCGTTCCAAAAGGCTAGTCATTAATGGATATGTGTCAATTCAGACGGCAGTGGCTTGCTCTTGGTATTATGTAGTGCAGATTTTTGTCAGTGGTGGATAGAGATGCAAATTGGCACACTGATGAACTTTCAAATGACACAGCGAATACATTGCATGAGACCATCTGAATTTAAAATATTTCTTAAGGGACTAGAGCAATGATATAAACATAGTACAATGGAATAGTGAACATTGGAATAGAGATAAATTTAAATTCCCAAACATTGGTTTAAAATTAAATTTTACAACTACAACATCGGGGAGTTGTGGCTAGATAGCAATTCATCTGAAAGAAATATGAGGAAAAGAACATTGATAAAACATTTTAAAATACACAGAGGACAGCAAAAGAGACTCAAAAGAGATACACAAGAACAATAATTTTGTTATCTTTTTAAATTTTACATACGTTAAAAAAAGCTTCATGTGAAAGAAGTTCACAGTTTCATATACAAGAAGCTGAGGTAGTCAGAGGAAGGAACCTGATACAGTCTAATCAGATTATTGTCACTACTACTGTCTGTCCTTCATTCTCGAAGAGAACCATAACATCAGGGAGGTGATGCCATGACATGCAAGTGAATTGGATTTGAGTGAGGAAGGGCTCACTTTTACCTCCAGAGCCATCTGGGTCCGGCGGCCAATATAAATCAGGACAACTGGAGATGGCCCAGGATGCAGTGAGGGACCTTGGCCTTTTAATGTTAAAATTTTTAACAGGTCTCAGTTTGACTGAGGTGATGCCTATTGGCTAATTAAGGCTTAATAAGAAATGAGGTAAAGAATGGCCACTTTAAGAAAAAAGAAAAGAAAGAAAAGAAAGAAAGAAAGAAGGAAAGAAAGAAAGAAAGAAGGAAAGAAAGAAAGAAAGAAAGAAAGAAAGAAAGAAAGAAAGAAAGAAAGAAAGAAAGAAAGAAAGAAAGAAAGAAAGAAAGAAAGAAAGAAAGAAGAAAGGAAGAAAGGAAGGAAGGAAGGAAGGAAGGAAGGAAGGAAGGAAGGAAGGAAGGAAGGAAGGAAGGAAGATCTAGTTGGGGAAGACTTTCAGGGTTTCTGGCCAAAACAGAAACAATGCCATTTAGATTCATTCTGAGCCAATCTGGGTCCAAAGAATGACCAAGTAGGACTTGGCCTAGGGCCTATTATTGGCCAATCAGTGAGAGCTACAGTGATTTGGAGACCCAGAGTGATTTCCATGCTGGAGTGGAGGAATAAGTAATAAAGAACAAATGATCTCATGAGCTCCCATGATTTAATTACCATCTCTATTCTAACAGTTCCCAAACTCAATATGTCTGAAACTGAACTTAATATCTCTCTAGTTGTTGTTGTTGTTGTTAAGTCATTTTCAGTTGTGGTCGGCCCTTCATGATTCCTTTTTGGGTTTTCTTGGCAAAGATACTGAAGTAGTTTGCCATTTCCTTCTCCAGCTCATTTTACAGATGAGGAAACTGAGTCAATCAGGGTTAAGTGACTTGCCCCAGAGTCTCACAGATAGGTCTGAGGCTGGATTTAAATTCAGATCCTCCTGACTCCAGATGTGATACTCTATCCACTGTGCCACCTAGCTGCCCATCTATTTCCCAATCCCTTCCCATCTCCTATCTTCCCTATTACTATATGGGGCAACACCATCCTTCAGGTTTGCAACCTAAGAGTCATCCTGGACTTCTCACTCTCTCTCACCCTCTATATCCAATCTGTTGCCAATGCTTATGGATTCCAGCTTTGCAATATCTCTTGAATACACCCGCCTCTGACACTGCAACCACTCTGGTGTAGACCCTTATCACCTTAGATCCAAAGTATTTCAATAGTCTGCTGATGGGGTCTTCCTTCCTCAAGTCTCTCCCCACTCCAATCCAACTTCCATTCAGCCACTAAAGTGATTTTCCTAAAGCTCCAGATCTGATTATGTCACACACCTCCAGCCCCTTACTCCCTCACCCAGGGCCATTACAAGGTCAGTCATCTTGACTTTTGTCTTGCCACTGGGCCCCAACGTTTCTGGAAGAGAGAGCAAGAATGATGATTTGCACAGCTCTGCCCCACTCAAATCCAATTTATATGCAAGTCAGGACATCACCTTCATGATGTCATTGGTCCTCTTTGAGAAAGATGGATGAATAACAACCATACCCACTCAATAAATTCCAGTGGCTCTTTGTAGAGTCCAGGAATAAACACAAAATGCTCTGTTTGTCATTCAAAGCCTTTCATGACCTACTCCTCTCCTACTTTTCCATTCTTATTACACCTTACACCCTGCCACAAACTCTTTGGTCCAGTTACATTAACCTCCTGGGTAGTCTACCAACAAGACACTCTATCTCTGGACTCTGGGTATTTTCTCTGTCTGGCCCCCATACTGAAATGTTTTATGGGCCTCATCTCCACCTACTGGCTTCCCTGGCTTCCTTTAAGTCCCAACTAAAAATCCCATCTTCTACAGAAAGCCCTTCCCAACCCCTCTTAATACTAGTGCCTTCTTTCTCTTATTTACTTCCTATTTATCCTGTATATAACTTTTGTTTGTTTGTTTGTGTATATTTATTTGCTTATTGTCTCCCCCATTAGATTTTTAGCTCCTCAAGAGCAAAAATTGTCTTTTGTCTCTTTTTGTATCCATAGTGCCTGGCACATAGTAGACACTTAATAAATTTTTATTGACTGAGAGACAAAAACAGCTAGAATAACTGGTAAGTCTATTAGGTTCAATCACAAATAAACAAGGGAATTTTGCCAACCCCTGGATACACAACTCATTCATGACTGGTATATTCAAAGGCGCTGTTGATCTATTATGAAGCAGCACATTTAAAAGCAACTCTAGCTTCCCCTCCCCTTTAAAGTATAACACAATGTTAACGCACACAGGCCAGTGTTCCAGTCTATGGAACCAAATGGGCCAAAAGACAGAGAAGTATTGCTTCATCTTCTGCCTTTGAACTGGCCATTTCTCATGTCTGGCTTACTCTGACCACTCACCTCTGCTTCTTAATTTTCCTGGCTTCCTTCAAGATTTACATCAAATCCCACCTTCTATAGTAGGCCTTTCTGGGTCCCTCCTCCCCAACTGTCAATTCCTTCTCCTTTCAGATTACATACTCTTGGGGCAGTTAGGTGGCACATTGGATAGCACACCAGCCATGGAGTCAGGAGGACCTGAGTTCAAATCCAGCCTCAAACACTTGACACTTACTAGCTGTGTGAAACACAGGCCACTTAACCCTAATTGCCTCAAAAAAAGAAGATTACATACTGCAGAGCTAAAACTTTATTCATAGTCTCTGTCATTAGAATGTACTCTCCATGAGAACAGGGACATATGTAGATAATAATTTCTTCAGGCTCAAGTTTTGTGAAATAATAGTATTAAAAAATCTATGAAAAGTTTAATCAATTATTTGTCTCTGTGTTGAAATGGTTAATCACAGGATTATAGAATTTCAAAACTGGAAGGGACCTCAAAGGCCCATAGATTCCTATTTAGTGGTTTGCTGTTCATCCTTCATTCTTGAAGAGGACCAATGACATCACAAGGGTGATGGCTCAACTTGCACATGAACTGGATTTAAGTGAGGCAGAGCTGCACAAAATCATCAGCCTCACTCTCTCCTCCAGAGACATTGGGGTCCAGTGGCAATACAAAGGTCAAGACAGTTGATAATGGCACAGCATTTAGTGGTTTATGAACCCCTTGGGTGTTCATAAGAAAGTGGTCTGAGGGGTAGAGCCAAGATAGTGGAGTAAAAGCAGTGACTTGCTTGAGTTCTCCCCCCAAATCCCTCCAAATACCTGTAAAAATGGCTCTAAACAAATTCAAGAGCAGCAGAACCCACAAAAAGACAGAGTGAAATGAATTTCCAGTCCAAGACAACCCGGATGGTTCATTGGAAAGATCTATTGTGCCAGTCTGGAGAGGGCCATTCAGGCAAAGCCCAGGCCTCAGAGAACCTGGAGCAGGCCTCAGGGACTGAATCACAGGCAGCTGCGGCTGTTTCCAGACTTCTCAACCTACAAAAGCCAAAGACAACCTAGAACGTCAGTAGGAAAGATCTGTGACCACAGTGAGAGAGAGGCTCAGTCCCAGCCCCAGTCCTGCCACAGCCCTGGGGTGGTGGCTGCTTCTGGACCTCTTGGCCCACAGACAAGGAGACAAGGAGAATCAAATGGATGATTAGAGGGGGATTGCAGGGATCTCTTTGCTGGTGCTGAGGCAAGAATGTCTTCCTTTGCCCACGCTAGGATCTAGGTCACAGTTCTGGGTAGCAGTCCTGAGGCGAGGAGGAGCGCTGGCACGGTGGAGCTTGTAGTGGCAGTGGAGAGAGAATCCTTCTCACAGTTCCAAGGCAGAAAAGAGTGTTTATGGTCACTCATGGACCACAGCACAGGCCAAGAAAAGAGGAAACATCTCACCCTTGATCACATCACCTTGGAAGAAGTGAAAATGTATAGGTACCTAGAAGTATCTCTAAAAACAGCTGCACAAAACCCCCGAAGCTTGGGACAGTATATTCTGCACACTGGAAGCAGATCTCTACCTTAACAAAGAGTTTAAAACTCAAGCAATTGGGTAGAAACATGAGCACACTGTGCAAAAAATGTCAGACCATAGAATCTTTCTTTGGTGACAAAGAAGATCAAAACATACAACCAGAAGAAGATAACAAAGTCAAAGCTCCCACATCCAAAGCCTCCAAGAAAAATACGAATCAGTTCCAGGCCATGGAAAAGCTCAAAAATGATTTTGAGAAGCAAGTAAGAGAAGTAGAGGAAAAACTGGGAAGATAAATGAGAGTGATGCAAGAAAATCATGAAAAACAAGTCAATAGCTTGCTAAAGGAGACCCAAAAAAAAATACTGAAGAAAATAACACCTTTAAAAATAGCCTAACCCAAATGGCAAAAGAGGTCCAAAAAGCCAATGAGGAGAAGAATGCCCTAAAAAGCAAAATTGGCCAAATGGAAAAGGAAGTCCAAAAGATTACTGAAGAAAATACTTCATTAAAAATTAGAATAGAGCAATTGGAAGCTAGTGACTTTATGAGAAATCAAGACACTGTAAAACAAATCCAAAAGAATGAAAAAGTAGAAGAGAATGTGAAATATCTCATTGGAAAAACAACTGACCTGGAAAATACATCCAGGAGAGAGAACTTAAAAATTATTGGACTACCTGAAAGCTATGATCAAAAAAAGAGCCTAGACATCATCTTTCAAGAAATTATCAAGGAAAACTGCCCTGATATTTTAGAACCATAGAGTAAAATAGAAATGGAAAGAATCCACGTATGACCTCCTGAAAGAGATCCCCAAAGGAAAACTCCTAGGAATATTGTAGCCAAATTCCAGAGTCCCCAGGTCAAGGAGAAAATATTGCAAGCAGTCAGAAAGAAACAATTGAAGTATTATGGGAACACAGTCAGGATAACACAAGATTTAGCAGCTTCTACATTAAGGACTGGAGGGTTTAGAATATAATATTCCAGAGGTCAAATGAGAAAGGATTACAACCAAGAATCACCTACCCAGCAAAACTGAGTATAATCCTTCAGGGGAAAAAATGGTCATTCAGTGAAATAGAGGATTTTTAAGCATTCTTGAGGAAAAGACTAGAGCTGAATAGAAAATTTGACTTTCAAATACAAGACTCAAGAGAAGCAGGAAGAGGTAAACAGGAAAGAGAAATCATAAGAGACTTATTAAGGTTGAACTGTTTACATTCCTGCATGGAAAGATGATATTTGTAACTCATGAGACCTTTGTCAGCATTAGGGTAGTTGGAGGGGAAAAAATTATAGATAGATAGATAGATAGATGGATAGATAGATAGATAGATAGATAGATAGATAGATAGATAGATAGAT